TGTCATCCAAACAAAATTTGGAGAGAAAGAAATGTAGACTTGGTTTCTTCTTTTATACAACTCGGACATCTAGTAGAAGAAGAGAAACTGATTATGCTAGAGAAAGATTGGGGGAGGGTTTACTGTGTAAGAATAAGAAAAAGAGAGCAGGAGATATAGTTGATTACTTGATTATGCTAGAGAAAATAATGGTGGAAGCTTTCTTGGTTTTCGGTGAAGATGGCCTTATTGCTGGTTTGAGTTATCGCCGATGTTTTATGATTGTTGAAGCTCATAGGTTACAAGTTGGGAGAGGGTTTACGACCCCTTATTGTTGATTTTGGAACTTAACGACATGTTAAATTAAATTGAAATATTATTTGGCATCTAAGACCACCGTTAGTCTTGACTCTTGTTAGTTTTCAATTAAGGGGGGTTGGACTGTGTGGAGGTTTTCTATTGGTGAGGACTAGTAGATTTTGGTCCAAGGGACTAGCAGATGTCTTCCTTTTTATGATTTTGATTGTTTAGGCATGACTATCTATTCAATAGATAATAAGTATGTCAACTTAGGTTAGGTATGACAACCTATAGAGTAGACAATCATCAATGTTATGCCTTTTTTGAAAAAGGAGTCATCAATGCTATAGATAAAAAGGTGGGAATCAAAGGAGAGAATATTTAAAACTAAATAATCTTATATATGATTAATAATATCTATAGTTATATACTAACAATACCATATAACACATTCGTTTGGTTAACCATCAAATTTTTCTAGGTTAACTAAAAATCGAACTGGTCCTTCAGTTTTTCAAAAATATCGAATTAAAACCAAACCAACTAGTTTAGTTAACTAGAACTTTTGATTTGGTTTAACCAGTTCGATTTGGTTTTTTAGTTTTTCCGATTTTTTATGATCACTCCTTACCTCTTACAATGTTTTTTTTTTTTTTTTACTCAAAATACTGTGTTAGGAGATAGGTCATTTGAAGGTTATGGTATGGGAGGGTGCTAAGGATGTTGCTACCTATTAATAGTTGATAAAGAAGAATAAAGTATTTGTGCTCTTGACAGGACTTAATCCTAAGTATGATATTGCACGACAACATATTCTTTCCCTTGAAAATGTGAGTTTTTCTTAGATATATGCCTTTGTGTTTGGATAAGAAAGTAGTAAATATTATGATGCAACATCCTAGCATTGACTGGTCGACCATTTTAGCACTATTAGATGTAGACCTAGTGGAGATAAGGGCAGTAGTAAGGATAAAAAGGATTTGGTTTGTGATCATTATAGTAAGCCCAAACATATCGGAGACACTTGTTGAAAGCTTTGCCCTCACCTTATATCAACTTGGCTTATGAACAAGAAGGGAAATGCCAATATGGCAGTGATAGGTGACTCCTTAGATTCTCCTTCTTTAGCATCCTTTGAGTTTATTATAGCAATAGCAATTAAGGCTAAATTGGAGTATGGGCGGTATATGAATTAGCAAGACATTGCTAGTTCTAGTTCATCTCAAAAAGGACAACATGAGTATAGGCAATTTTGGGACTAGACATACCACTTCTTTTGCTCATATCGGTAGTTCATATGCCATTGCCAACTATTTTTCTACTTCAGGTAAGGAGGGACCCCCCTAGGTTATAGACTTAGGAGCCTTTGAGCATATGGCCAATGTTTTTATTTTATTTTCTTTTTATTAGTTGTGCTCTGGTAGAAACAAAGTTTTTATTATAAATGGTTCCTATGTTCCCATAGCAAGGAAGGGGTTTATTACCTTTTGTTTTGCATGTTCCTAGATTATATACTAATCTCTTATCTATTAGTAGATTGACAAAGAGTTTGAATTGTTCAATAGCCTTTCTTCTTGGTCATTGTGTTTTTCAGAATTTGAGGTTAAGGAGGACAATTGAAAATGGCCATGAGGTGAATGGAGTCTACCTTTTGGATGTGCTTTCGAGTTATTAGAGTCATAATGCTAGTAATAAGAATAATGTGTTAAAGTTTGTGTGTCAGCATATGCCATGGTATAATCGCCTAGATCATTTGTCTTTTAGTTATTTATGTTTCCAAAATTGGTTGTCTATTAAGTTGTCCAATACCTGTATGCATGTGTAAGTCCCATGCGTGTGTACGTATGCAAGCTCCTTGAGTTTTGGTGTTTCCTTATGATTTGTGACTTCCCTTCTTGCTTAATACTTTAGATGGTGAGGTAATGAAGGATGTTGGAAGATATCAAAGGTTGGTGGAACACCTACTATACTTGCATATGAAGCGTCCATATATCTCCTATGTAGTTAGTTTTGTGAGTTAGTACATGCATGCACCACATGCTCAACATTGGCCAACAGTTGGTAGGATTCTTGCCTATCTAAAAATACATTTAGGTAAAGATATATTGTTTATAAATCATGGACATATGAAACTGGAAGCTTATATAAATATAGATTAGGTGGGATGTTTAGATGATAGGAGATTTACAGTAGGTTTTTACATCTTTGTTAGAGAGGTAACATGGTTTCATTGAAGAGTAAGAAGCATTCTCTTGAAGTGAATCAAGCTGCCAATTGGTTGACTCATGAAGCTCAACTGTCTTTCAATGGTGTAGTTTTTATTGATATGTGTAAGCTTTATTTTCCTTTAGATTTCATTTGTTCATGTGAACTTTGGGGATGTGCTACCCCTTGTCTTGTGTAACTCCCTTTGGTCTTCATCAAAAAAGAAAAAAAAAAGAGTAAGAAGCATTTTGTAATGAATAGATCGAGTACAGAAGTACAATGCAAGTCCATGGCTTATAATGTCTCCGCTACTTTGGATTTGGTCTTTCTTGGGTGAGCTTGTGGTTGTTGCATAGGAGTTTATGATGTTGTACTGCATTAATCAAGTCGCATACAACATTGCCCATGGTCTAATTTAACATGATGGGACAAAGCATATTGAGGTAGAAAGACACTTTATAAGAGGGGGGTGACATCATAAGGCATATTGCCTATTTTATGTTTCATATGATTTTAAACTAACCAATGTATTCACCAAGGGAGTTGCTATAAACAAGCTTGAGCACGTTCTATACAAGTTGGGAATGTGAAAATATTTATTCCCAACTTCATGGGGAGTGTTAAGGATTTGTTGCGTTTTTATTTATTTGTTATTAGTTGTTGTTATTGGGCTAAGGCCCATTAATTTAGTATTCGTTTTAGGTTCTATTGATGTATTAATAGTAGCTACCATATTGTTAAGGGCATATTAGGCATTGTATTCCTTTTTTATTATTGAATATTTGAATATACAAGTTAATGGGTAAAATATCATTTGGAATTTCTTTTCTACCCTCTATGTTTAACAAAAAAAAATCAGAATTCTTGTAAAGAGACATACATGAGCCCAACTAAGGTGAATTTAGGAATATTTGTTGAATGTTTAATCAAGATTTTCCAACCAATCACTTTAAAGACTAACACAATGTAATTTCTTTTCATTGGTTCATATACACTTTGAAAACATTCAAGATGTTAACTATGGCATGCCATTTTTATCATTGATTCATGTTTTTGCTTCACGATCCATACCAAAATAATGGAAGTAGGATGTTTTGGTTTATCATCAGTTCATTGGTTCATGTTTTTTTTTGGGTAAATTACAAACTTCCCCTATACAAAGGGGTTAGTGATATAAATACTCCCATTATTAGAGTTCCGTCAATTAACTTTGAAATAGATTCTCATTCAATTATTTAATTTTTTTTAATTCTCAAACTAACATTTTCTTATTTATTTGAACGATTTATGATTTGATTAATTTTCTAAATATAACATTGAAGTCCTCTCAATTGGATCCTTGCAGATTTTTGGTTGGATTCAAGAATTTCATTCATGTTATTGAAATGAATGAAGAATTTAAAAATCTTTTCTTTTCATGCAAGTGAAATGATTTTTGTTGTTTTAGTTGATTTCGTTTAGAGAAAATAGAGATACTTTTGATCAATTAAGGTTTAAGAGAAAAGGGTAAAGAAAAGAAAATAAAAAAAATTCAGGTGAGTATTTTAATAATTTAATTCATTCCGTCCTCTGATTTAACGGTTAGGGGATATTTGTTGAAAAGTGCAAGTTTAGGAAGTCTTGCATAATGAAAAATGAAAGTTCGGAGATATTACTATTTGTCACCACACCATAATACAATAATACAAAGGGTCTTTCTTGTTTACATTTTTGATATTTTGGTTTATCGAAAAATATGGAAGTAGGATCTGGAAAATTTCTTGCTTTCTAACATCATATCCAGATCCGTGGAAAGTTGGCTGGAGCTTTCATCGTGGGTGGCTACGATCACCTTATCGCCTTGTTATCGGTCTCAGCTGTAACGTGTCATACAAAGAGAGAACCCTATTGGCAGCCCAGGCTGCCCAACGTGGACAGCAAGTTTTCTTGAATCCCGAGTTCCGACTCATGAGATGGGCCAATCCGTACAAGCAAGCCCGGCCCCACAAAAGGAGTTGTTTGGATAAACCTGTCCCAAATGCTTAATTACCCACTAATAGCCTTCCAAGTTCCAACAGCAAAACGTATCTTTCTTGGATTGCCAAAAGTCTTCCGACTTTCCGAGGTCCTTTTCTCCTCTCTTCTTTTATACGGAATCGGCTTTCGTCAGCGCAACGCCCGTTCGACCACCCTTTTAAACACTTCTTTCTCTAATATCTTGATACCAATCTAACGGCTAAAAAGTGGCCCACAACGAGTGACTGTCCCTTCGTTGGATCATATTCGTGTCAATCTGCCAACGTCTCTCTTTGAACACCGAATCGTTCAACAGATAAGAGATGGGGACAAAGATTGTCGATTTGGCGTTTGACTATTGGCGGTAGAAAGCACGGAGTGAAGAAACAGAGATTGGTCGGGTTGAGATCGTTGACTGAATGCATATGACGAACCAGCAGCACACGTCTACTCCTCCCGCTTCACCGTTTGATCGCCTGACTGGGGCCTACCGAATCCCTCTTCTGTTCTCTTCTCTCTGTCACTCGCTAATCCATAATCAAGCCAAGCATTTTTTAATTGAAAATTTTAATACCATATATCTCCTCTTTCACCAACCCCATCCCCCTCCCTCTAATTGAAGCAGACCCAATTCCAGCTACAAATACCATTCGAGTGCCTGGTCATAATCTGAGACGGTTTTGAAGGCTCGAAAGATCTCTCTCGCTCTGTCTCTCTGTGCCTTCGCCATGTCTCCAAGAGAGGCCACTTCAAATGTACGATCTTCTATCTCCATGGTGTTTAATTTCAATTACAGATAATTTGTTCATTTATTGTTTGATTAAGATTTGGTTAAGTTGTTGATTTCCTTTTGTATCAGAACTGTTCTTTCTTTGGGTATGATCGTCTAGGAATTGTTAGTTATGGTGTTTGATTGGTTTGATGAACTGAGGTTTTGATATATTTGTGGTAGTCTTATCTGTAATTCTTTAGTAATTGTTCAGATTCATTTGGAAATGGTTTTTGCTTATTTTGTTCTAGGAATATAGTTTGGACTTTGGACAACTATAGTTGATCATATACAGTAGGTGTGGTTTTGGAATTTCACCCTTCAAACTGGTCATACCAATTGAGGAATTTTAGCTGTTAAATAGGTTAAACTGTAAAGTGGTAAGTTACAGGGCCTGGCAAATCACAAATGTTTTGAAGAAATAATGTTTGTTTAATATCATTACCTACTAAGGGAGGATAAAAGTTTAATTAGCTACGGTTCAAGTTTCATGTCATTAAATATTGAAATATTAGGCAGAAAACATTTACTGTTGCTCACCTACTCTTATCTGGACATGCCATCTGTCCTTATATAGGAACTAAGAAAAATGTCCTTTTTTGGTTTGGTAGAATATACACAAATGTATCTACTGAACGTGATAGTTAATTTCTGCTCAGCTGATATCTTTGCATCATAAATGGGTAACAAATGGAATCTACTGCACTGCATATTGCCACATTAGTTTACAATTTGTAAAACTAAATATTTGTGAGGCTTGATCTACTAACTTAGTAAATTTTCTTTTTGTAACATGTCATTTTTTTTCATTGAAGGTATGATTTTTTTTTTGTCAAACTTAGTCCAGGTCCAATGCTAAAAGTGCATAGGAGGTATCTTATCTGCACTGTATATTTAACCTTATTAAACAATCTCATCCATTTGTATCTACATCAAAGTTGTTTCATTAGTCTGTCCTCCCCATGAAGAGTTTGTTTGAAACTTGGTAGACTTTGTTACTCTGTCAATTTAGCTTATTGCCATTTGGTCATCACCACTATATTTTGCATTTACAATCTTATAAACCTAAATAATTTGATTGCAACTTTCTTTCTGTTCTTAACTTTCTCCCTTTTGCTGTTTATAGAGTGTTTTAAATGACACATGTCAAATTCTTTGATAATGAATTGAGATATTACCCAATTAGAGGGAGGGTTTTGTGGTTGGCCATTTTAACTTTCTAAGGGCTAATTGCAATTAATGCAGTAAGTAGGATAGAAACAGATGGGTAGATAGATAGATACAGTAACAAGGGAAGCACATATGTTTTTGCACGTGTGTTTATATTTGAACTGGATAGATAAGAGATTGATCAAGATTACTTACTTTTGTGTGCAATGAAGATAAGATTTCTTTCAGTCAGTGTTTGGTTAGTATTGTGTTTACTAAAATTTCCTGACGATGCTTCAATTGTTTGCAGTAAAGGTAAGGTTAATCTTGATGATGTATCAAAGGACCTTGAGTAAATATTCCCTTTTTATGGGTCCTTAATTTTAAATGGCACAATTACATCCATTTAGCTATGCTGATATTGGTGCACCCATGCCTATTTACGTGAAATGAAGTTTTAAGAGAGCCAATTCAGTAAAGGACCTTGGTAATATTTCAATTACTAAATTGCTTAGCTGTATATTCCTCAAGATTAAATTTAATAGTATTGATATAACTTATTTTTGTTCTTTTCCTTCTTTGTGGTTGCTATTGGTTTTAAGTTCTTGTTTTTTCATCAAAGAGATAGATTTTCTTTTAAAGAAAATGGATCTGGAAACAAGAACACAAAAGGTGAAAAGGAAAATGGTAACATATATTCATCTGAAATCTATTCTAAATCTGTTAAAGAACTCTGCCTGTGACTATCAAGTTAAAGCTATAAGATAGCCAGGGACTATGCTTTCAATAACTTGTAAGAACATATTCTCTGTCATTATGAACTGGGCATTGATTTTAAGGACTTAAAAAGGATATGAAAAGGATAGATATTGGGATAAAATTGGATATTGTAGATCATTGATTATGTATCTATTTGTAACACTTTCTGTAAATTGTATGTTTTTTGGGGATCCTTTACCCAGCATTATGTTATCAACGCAGCGAAGTTATGACTTGTTGTTTAGGCCTCTCTAGTCAATGCAATGGCTAGTTGGTGCCTAGGTGCTGATTTGTCAGGTTGGATAGGCCAGGAGAGGGAAGCGTAGCCTTTGTTTTCCAAAGGAAGAATGCAACTTGATTATTTGACATGCCAGTTTTTTTAGTAACTCTGTACCAACAAAACACTAATCGGAAGATAAAAATAGTTCAACTGCCTTCATTTATTTTATGTATTTTTTTCCTAATTTATATACCATCATCCAATCATGTTCCATCACAAATATTTAAAGCATCACAATGAACATAACAAAATGAAATAAAGATTTAAAATGACTTTGTAGTTGACTAGGTTGACTAGTTGATTCTTAGCCATACTAGGCTACCACATCATCAGTATTGACTGACTAGTCAGTGATGCAGTCAGTCTGGCCCTCAACTGGCTAGTTGGTTGACTAGTCCGTCAATGACTAGTTGGCACCTTGATAACATGGCTTTATCTAATAGGACCCAATCTTGCTACTTGTAATAATTTTGCTTTTGATATTTATTAATTAAAAGAGTCACCTACTTACTAATAAAAAAGGAGGAAAGTTCACCGTATTTCTCCATCCCACAGACTGATATATAATTTATAATGTTGCCCAAAATATTTGGTGCCTATCCGTCCCTTGTTTAGCCAGACCATCCACCATCCCAGTAGCTAAGCAAGGAGTTACTAGGGAGGTTTTGTTTTGGGCCTGTTTTTAAGTTTTTGTTTTTTTGTTTTTTTCCATCCATTGTGGGTGGTAAGCCTGTAATCTTTTCAATTGTCTAATGAAAGTTACCGTTTCCTATTAAAAAAAAAGTTCACCGTATTTTGTACTTATAAATAGGTGATAAAATGAGCTATAGAGGTTGTGACCAGGATAAGAGATTGTAGTTGTAGGATTATGGAGCTACTGATTCAAAATAAAATTGTGCCTTTGAGGATGTTGGGGGCCTTCTGATGATGGATATGCATTGTTATGTTGGTTACTTTCTAAGGAATAATTTTGATAATAATAAATTCAGTATGATATTCATGGTGAAGCATGGGGACTTTACTAACTGCCATAAACTATGAAACATATTAGGATGCACAGTGACAGAGGCTGCATTACTTATATTGGTATTGTTTTAAAATAGTGAGTCCTGAAAAGTATTTATTGGGACTTTGGTTATGTGGTACATCATTGTTCCAATTAATTGGTGGAGAAAATTTTCAGTGTCTGATTTATCATGTGTCACGTGTTCTGTTGTCGTAAGAATGTGTCATTTCCTCACAAGTCAATGCACTGTAAAAATATTCAGAACCACTTTTTTTTTTGGTACTCCTCTTTAAATTACTTTCTGGTCCCATGTCATTTTCTGGTTTTGGATGGATTGTTGAAGTTATTGCTGCTCCAAAAATGATAACATGGTGAAATTGCAAGATTATTTTGTTTCATAGCAAGCATCTTGTCATGCTTCAGCGCTTTTAATGACAGGATTTCTGTGGACAAGGGAGTTCCAGTGGGACATTTTCACATCCAGAGAATGGTTACAGGGATTCATCTTCTGCCTCCGATTCAGAAAAGGTAGTTTTGGAGTTCCTTCAACAGACATCTGTGAAGGGAATGGATGAACACCTTGTTGAGTTTTCAGAGGCTTTGAGAAGTAAGACAACTTATCTTTTAGAACTATTTTAGATCTTGTGAAGATCTCTTCTGAATTTAGAGTGGTGCTTTTTTGTCGTAGTCATTGGGGAAATTAGATCAATTGTACTTAGTGAAAATTTGTTATGCATGTATTGAGGATAAGTATGGGACTTTGGTTTGCAAATTTATAAAAAAGCTCTCTACAATGTTCCAGTTTATAATATCTGTCTGAAATTTTTGACTTATCTTTTGTTGTCTGTTACCTTTTACAAAAATATAAACTAAGGGAAATGGGGAAATGTTTTGGGATTTATATTGATAAGAAAGATGATTCTCTTAAAGTCTTAATAGATGGCTCAGTTTATGGAATAATAGGTTCAACTTTACAGAGTGCAAAGCACTTTTCTATCCCCTAAATACAAATAATATTAACTGGAGAGTTAATAAAGGAAGCTAACTTACAGCTAGTGGTATCTTATTTAGTATTATTTCCCACCTGGAAGTTCGTAGCTTTTGGTTCTTTTTCATACAATTTCTGTTTCATGAACTGATGAGTTTATGCAGGGAACTGTAATCTGATTAATAATTAGAGACATTCTGGAATTGACAACTGATTAATTTCAACTAACCTGATAGACACAATATACTAGGTTTGTAGCACTTTGGGATCAAAGGGGAGCTCTTTGATTTCTATTAAGGGCGGTTTGGGTTGGACAAAGTTTTGGAACCTCTAGTAGGAGTGGTTGAAGTTTCACTCCTCCCATCTTATTGGGTCCTATGAAACCCTAATTTTGGGTGATTGAAGAGTTCTTTGTTTGGAGTAGAAAATCTAGCTTAGTAAAACCCTAATTTGATTTTCGTTTGCATTCACTCAATGGATCAAACTAAAGGAGAAACCAAATATCCCGTAGATTATGGGTTTGGACATGGGGGCCAGTGGAGACTCTGTTGGGGGCAGTTACCATTGTGAAATTGGATGGAGCCAATTATTTAGCTTGGTCTTAGTCAATTAAAATACATGTGTGTAGTAGAGGGAAATGGGGTTACATTTTTGGGAGCAAGAAGAAACCAGCGAAGGATGACCCTACCTATGAAAGGTGGATGCAGGAAAACTACATAGTAGTGGGTTGGTTAGTGAATTCTATGCAGCCACATATTAGTCAACACTACCTGTGGATGGAAACTCCAAAGAAAGTGTGGGATAGTGTCACAGAGAGATACTCCCGATAGCTGAATGTTGCTTGGGCCTACAATAGTACAAATTGAAGAATGATGTGAATAACCTAAGACAAGGGAGAGTCCCTTAGCTGTCTATTTCTCCATGTTGAAATCTCTTTGGCAGGAGATTGATTTAATGGAGACTGTTGTTGGGGATTGTACAAAGGATGCAAAAACACATAGGAAGTTGGTGGAAAGAAATTGGGTCTTTGAGTTCCTCACTAGACTCAACTTGGAGTATGATGTTGTGAGGCAGAATGTTTTGGCAAGGATGAGGTGACTTTGTCTTAGGCTTATGCTATGGTGAGTAGTGAGGAGAAGAAAAGATAGGTTCAGTTTGTAAAGCTGCAGGTTGGTCACTATGCTAATGCTAGGATGAAGCCAAAGGTCAACACTAGGAAGAAAAATGTTATCTATGAGTACTGCAAGAAGCCTAAACATACTAAAGACACCCGTTGGAAGTTGCACTCAGAGCTCATTCCTACTAGACTCAAGAATGGAAACAGTGGAAAGAGGATTGGAAATGGAAAAGGTGGAAATGCAAATGTAGCAACCTCCTCACAGAATGAATAAGGGTAGAGTGGTGAGAAATCAGTGGGAGTGCAACTTGTAGCCGCCAGGGCTGAGTATGAGAAGTATGTCTGAATAATCAATCATCTAGAGTCTACTACTACAGCATCTACTTCTTCAGATACAGTTCCTTCCTCTGTGTATGCACACCCAGGTATTCGTGTCACTGCAAATCATGCTATTATTTCTGGTACTCATAAAATCTTTTGGGGAATTGATTCTGGTGCCTCTAACCATATAACCAGTGTTTCACATTTATTCACCTCTTACCAACTCCTTTCTGTCTGGGACAAGATATTCTCTTGCTGATGGCTCCTTTGCCCCTATCACGGAAAAGGGAGACATTAAGACCCCACATGCCGTGACCTTATTATTTGCTCTTTATGTACCTAAACTTAATATCAAATTGCTTTCAATTAGTAATTTAACTAAATCCCTGAATTGCAGCGTGACCTTTTTCCCTTCATATTATGTTTTTCAAGACATGAAATCTTAGAAGGTGATTGGGAGTGGCCATGAGGCGAATGAGATCTATTTGTTAGACATGCCTGAGCAGTGAATAAATTGTAAAAGGATTACAACAACGGTGGCCGAAAACCCTCTTTCCTGGTAACAACATCATCTTCTCTGGCAATATTTTATTGTGTAGCTTCTCCAACCGCAAGCACTATCCTTTCGTAGAAAGGTTATGGCATAAAGTGAACAATGGTGTGTAATCACAATGAAAAAATAATTTAAATATGGTTATTTTGGCCATTTCAAAATTATACTTATCTCACATATTCAAAACTGGAAGGGTATTTATGTCATTTTACATACTATTTAATGTCAATTAACAATTTTGAACTAAGTGGACAATTTTCAAGAGTTTAGATAGTACAAGCTATGGTACATTTTGAAGTTTGAATACTAAAATGAGACTAATTCCAAAGGATAGGATAGTAATATACAATTTACTCAATATTATGTTGTGTATCTCTCCCACCAATAAATCTTCAAAAGTAAATAGTAAAAGCAAGTAGTGAACACATGGGCCACACAATCAATACTCACATGTTACAGTTGAAAAAGTGAACCACGAATTGAAATTTTGAACCACACCACCTTTTTTTCTAGAACCATAAAACAAACACCACCTAAATTGGGATATTTTGATCATSTAAACAAGTCAGCATTTTTTTCGGGTACAAAAGCAAATAATCCGTTTTACAACCTTCTTCCAAATGCCTCTCAACTGGACTGATTTGGACAGCTCACTTATATTGTCCACTACTTGATTGATTGCAAATTTTGAAAWAGGTCAAAGAAGAGAATTCTCGATTTCAATTAAAATTCTACTAAGATGTGAAATTCACCAAATTTGTTTGGTGTTTCTTCAAATCATCAATTATCACACCACTAAAAGAATACCCAAACAAATGAATATCAAAATAACAAATGGAATTAACAAATCYAATTACACCTCCATTTCCAAATCCACCCTATTTTCTAAATTCAACCTAAAGTCTGAAACGGTCACATCCCCCTTGGTTTCTATTTTAAGGGGTTATCATGATTAGAGCTTGGTCYACCATGTGCAGTGAAATAACTTTGTTGAACTCTCATTTGAAACCCCTTGATCAAGGGGCATCAAGAAAATATCTTTAATGTACTTTGTCCCACTCCTACAGCTTAAATAAAAAGAATGAAAAAGCTAACAAGAAAAGCTAGGCATACTTGGGAATCATCAAGCACCAATCAATTCTAAGAATTAGCGCAACTTGTTGGTCATTTTTCTGAGTCGGGGTCTTGTATATATATATATATATATCACTGTTTTGAAAACTGGATCAGATTGGATGGACAGATCATTCGACCTAGGAATCAGTCAATTATTCGGTAACTGCTGATTCGGATGGTTGAACTATTAAACCATTCGATCCAATGAATGGMTTTTGGGTCATTTCAATTATTTTTTAAAATGTTATGGGTCGATCCATTCAGACTGGACAATTGAAATACTATCTGAAAATCGGTGGCCAAAGTGATTCTATTTCTGGGTTAATTTTTAAAACCTTGATATGAGAGAGAAGAGGAGAAAGAGAATGCTTATGATAGAAGGTTTATTACCTATCAGTAAGAGGCTTTGAATTTGATAGCTTAACCACCTTAGGTAAGGTAGGTGTTGTACTTCATGGAGGTATAAGGTTGAAAAAGAGAAAAGAGACATTCCACTTACCCACACAGCTAAGAGCATAAAGACAACACATTGGAATTGACTGCCTTCRTCTCTCGTTCTCRTGAGGTGTTGTGACATTTCTGGTTTCATATTTGCGCTACCTCTTTCTGTCTCTTAACACCAACGACTTATATAAAAAACTTAAAATGTGTAGCCAAGCACCTGGCGCTATTGTCCGAAGCCATATATTGTCCATATCTTTTCTACCCGTGATCAGTTGGCCTCTAGTGTCATAAGTCTCCTCGCTAGATATCCTTTACCTCATACAGTCCAAATTAGAACAATTTTTTTTTTTCCGTTTATTTGTTTTTTTCTGTTTTTGTGGCCAAATGCACTAGAGATGCAGCATCTTTTCCTCCATGTGTTCTAAATATTTGGGCTTAGTCTGGGAAAAATATAAATACAAATGTATACACTATCAATAGAAACAAAATAATACAAAATACAAGATTTTACATTATATACAGTACTAATGTGCTCGATACTCAAAGATGGATATGAGTATATCCACTTAAAACTTTTAAAAGATATATGTATTAATATTTCCACATAAAAGATATTTGGTTCTTGAGAGTAAATTGATATACAATTTGTATGTTATGCGTTCATTCATAAGTTTAAGTTTTCAAGAAAGCATGCCCAAGCATCATTTGGTTGCATTCATAATGAAGGAAAGTTAAGGGCCTTCTAAAAATTGTTATCATACTACAACCTCAGAGAACTGCATCTATTTAAGAATCCACTAGTTGTATTATGTTATGTCATAGCCATTTGGGTCATTTGTCTTTCTCTTCATTGAGTCAGTTGTTTCCAGAACTATTTAAAGGAACAAGTCTGTCGAATCTGCATTGTGAATCTTGTGAGTTCTCAAAGCATTGTAAGGACAATTATCCTTCAAGTAATAAAAGATAAACTGTTCATTTTAATATTGTTCACTCTGATGTGTGAGGGCCTTACCATTTATCTTGTATGGGTAGCTATAGATATTTCTTCATGTTTATTGATGATTTTTCATGATAACCTGGATTTACCTTATGCACTCTCGTGCTGAAGTGCTTAAACTTGTGCAATAGTTTCATGAAAATATACTCACTCAGTTTGATGCCTGCATCAAAATATTCCGTTTAGACAATGCTAAGGGTTATTTTTGAGAAGGACCTTACCTCTTACCTTGAGAAATTTGGGGTTGTTCATTAGAGTTCTTGTGCTCGTACTCCACATCAAAATGGAGTAATGGAGAGGAAAAATAGACATATTATGGAAGTTGCAAGGAATATTGTTTTTGTTACCATGTTCCTATGATGTTTTGGGGTGATGTAGTTTTAACAACCACTTATCTTATTAATTGTATGCCTTCTCGTGTCCTTTTGGAGTCCTCTTTCCTAGTGTTGAGGTTTTCTCCATCCCTTTATGTGATTTTTGGTTGCACTTGCTATGGCCACACTCCTAGTTCCAAGAGACATAAGTTTGAAACCAAGGCTTAAAAGTGTATCTTCCTTGGTTATGCCTCCACACAGAAGGGGTATTGTTATTTTGATCCCATTAGTGGCACCTAGTTTGTTTCCATGGATGTCACCTTTATAGAGTCAACCCTTTTTATAGTCATCCTTTTAAGGGGGAGAGATCTCTTGAATTATTTTCTTCATCCCTTCCTTTGCTAGCTTTAGTTGAGTCTTATGTTGAGCCCTCCACAGTTACCCCCACTTTCGTGGAGGGATCCTCTCCTTTGAGGTCTTCCATTCTTGCGCCCCCCCCCTCCAACTAGTCCTCCAGTTTTTACCACCCATCCTATTCTCCAAAGTTGATACTAGTCGAAAGGGTTAAGGCAGACACAGGTTGATCCTACATCTCCAGTTGGTCTCAGGTGCTTCTAATCACCGAAGAGAGGATAGGTCTGACATCTCTACCAGATCTTAACCTACCTATTGCTCTGATATTGGGTAAGAGGAAATGTACAACTCATTGCATTTCCAAACACCTATCTTATAGCTTGTTGTCCCCATCCTACTATTCCTTTCTAGCCTCCATTTCTTCTCAACTCATCTCAAAGTCAGTGACTGAAGCCTTAGCCAAAGCAGGGTGGAGGGATGCTATGAGGATTGAAATAGAAGCACTTCATAAAAATAATACCTGGGATATTGTTGACTTGCTAGATAGGRAGGAACTTGTTGGGTGCAAGTGGGTTTACATTATCAAGTATCATGCAAATGGGTCAATTGAGAGATATAAGGCATGTCTTGTTGCCAAGGGATATACCCAAGTGTATATGGGATAGATTACACTGAGACATTTTCTTCAGTTGCTAAATTGACTTCTGTGAAAGTTCTTTTATCCTTAGCAGCGAGTTGTGATTGGCCTCTTTATCAGTTTGATGTTAAGAATGCATTCCTGAGTGGCGATCTCATTGAAGAAGTATGTATGTCCTTTTCCCTGGTATATATAGTAAGGAGATGCAAGGTAAGGTGTGCAGATTGAAGAAGTCACTTTATGGCCTAAAACAATCTCTACGTGCTTGGTTTGACAGGTTTAGGACTTCTATTATTCAGTTCGGCTACATTCAGACTCAATTRGATCATACCCTCTTCGTTAAGAGGAGAAATACTCTAGTTACATTTCTTATCATTAATGTGGATGATATTGTTATTACTAGCAATGATATAGAAAATGTTAATAATCTCAAGAAGTTCCTCAATTCTTAATTTGAGATTAAAGACTTAGGGGAGTTGTGGTATTTTCTTGGCATTGAGGTTGCTAGGTCCAAAGAAGGTATCTTTATTTCTCAGCGGAAGTATGTGTTGGATCTTCTTATTTTGATAGGAAAACTTGGTGCTAAATTTACCTCCACCCCTATTGATGTGAATTATAAAACTCTCAACTAATGATGGAGAACTTTTAGTTGACAAGGAGTGTTTTAGAGATTACTAGGGAAACTTCTTTATCCATGTATGACTTGTCCAGGCATTTCATATGTTATGAATGCAATCAGCCAGCTCATGCATGCTCCCAGAGACACTCATATGGCTGCTATAGAAAGGGTTAGGGTACTATGTTATCTTAAGGGAACTCCTAGGAAGGGTATAGTATTTGCTAAATGTGGCTATATGAAGGTAGAAGCATATACAGGTGCTGATTGGGCAGGTAATGTTGATGATGGTCTACATCATGATATTGTGCTATGGTAGCTGGGAATATTGTTTCCTAGAGAAGTAAAAAGTAGTTAGTTGTTTCTAGATCTTCAATGAGGCAAAGTATAGGGCTGTGGCCCATGGGGTTTCTGAGTTGTTATTGGCTTAGATCTCTCCTTGATGAGATGGGTGTTTCATGCGGCAAGCCATTGATGTTATATTGTGATAACTATGTTGCTATTAACATTGCTCACAATCTAGTTCAGCATGATAGAACTAAGCACATTGAGGTAGACAGAGACTTTATACGGGAGAGAGTGGTTTTAGGAGAGGTGTGCCTTCCTTTCCTTGCATCAGAAGAGCAACTAGCAGATTTTCTGACTAAGAGAGTTCCAAAAGCAAAGTTTTAACATTATATAAGCAATCTAGACATGATAGACATCTATGCTCAGTTTGAGGGGGAGTGTAGTGAGAATGGGCCTTAGTGTCTTTATTTCTTTCAAGTTATGTTTTAAGTTTATGTTCTTTTAATTATGGACCTTTTTTGTTTTGTTTTATTACTCCTTTAGTGCTGGCTGCTCCATTAAGGGTATCCAAGGAATTGTACTCAGTTTAGGGAAAATGGATTGAACTCTTCTCTTCTTCAACAAACCTCTGCTGAAACCTTTCTTTCTTCTTCCTTTTCTCTTCCTTTTCTATATTTTCTGAATTATTGCAGGTGTGTTTCACAACTGTTTTTATGTGGGACTGTTATTCCCATGCATCCTTTCTCTTGTTTTCAGTTTTGTAAAGCATTCTTGGTTATTGATTAAAATAATGAAAGAGCTTGTGGATGTCCAATGTCATCTTTTATCTCCTTTCAGATATCCCTGATATAGTGACTACATTTTTGTCTTTAATTATTAAATTTGTTATTTTTATGTTCTTAAGGCTCAGTTTGATTACAAAAAAAAGTTCAGTTTGGAAGGATTGCAAATACAAATATGTACAGTGAAAAGTCTTGTATTTTGTATTTCTAAACCTGTATTTGCATTGTACGTATTTGTATTTGTACTCTTCCCAAACTGAACTTAAATGTAACTATTATACCTGGTGTCTAATTTTTATTATGTTTCATTTTATTTATTAGCTGTTGCAAAGGCATTAAGACGAGTAGCGGAGGGAAAGGCATCTGCTCAGGCTGAGGCAGCTGAATGGAAGCGCAAATATGAGTTAGAAAGGACAAGGAGTCTGATGAAGGAACGTTTAGGTTTGCTATGTGATCTTGTAACATAAATTCTTTAATTATAAGCCTTTTTTCCTGCTATGGTGCTTCTCTTAAGTTAGGAAAAATAAGACATTTCCATTCCATTGAACAAACTGTTCCATTCATCACTGGCATGTTAAATAGTTGGAGGATATTGTAGCATATCATCACCGTCTTGCACTAAGTATTTTTTTTTCATTTTTTTATAGGAAACACCAACTTTCATTAACTTTAAAGAGAATTAGTACAACTATCACCTTCTAAAGAAGGTGATCCCCCAATTCACAGTTAACTTACAAACATGCCCAAAATAGAGTTTCCCTAGTAACCCCTTGCTTTGCCAATGCATCAGCCAAGGTGTTTGCTGATCTTCTAGCCCATTTAAACTGTACTCTAATCTCCCTTCTTTGGCTCAAAATTTCCCTTACAAATTGTCTAAGGGCCCAAGTGCCTAAGCTGCTTGTCTGCATCCAACCTATTACCAACTTTGAATCACCCTCCACTTCTAATTTCTGAAAACCCAACTGTTTATCCAAGAGAATAAGGCCAAGATTCTTCCTTCCACATCTCGAAAAATACCCCCAACTCTTGTGGGATCAGGGTTACCGATGTTTTCAGCTAATGTATGACCTTGATGGTTATTTCTTCTACCAAATCATCCTTTGATTTTCCTTGCCCTTGGAAGATCTTATTGTTCCTCTCTTCCCAAACTGCTCAACTGGTAGCTGCTCTTGTTGTTCCCCACATCACCCTACCCCTTTTCTTTGGTTGTCGGAAGAAGCTCGAGTCAAAGTGGTGCACCACACTCGATAGAGGAGACCATCTGCAACCAAAGAGAGAGGAAAACCATTAAACACGAGTAACAAAAGAATAGGAGATTAATAGATGGTTTCTTGCACCAAGTATGAGTGAAATGAAAAAACCAAGATATCAACACCTTTATAGAAAACCTATATGTAAAGATAACACATTAGTTAATGATGACAGTATAAAAATTTAAGGGTTGAGCCCACCAGATAACACATTATTATATTTAAATGGACTAAAAAAAACGTTGAGCCCACAAGATCATACAGTTTCTTCTATCAAATTGGAAAAGCATTTCCTAATTTATAATGAACATGGTTGCAAAAAGAATAGGCAATTGATCGAATTTTTAATATCAAAGTGGTGGTAATCTTATATTTTAAGGTAATTGTTGTCTCAAATTCCTATCTAGATCTTGTCTTTGCCTGTGCTTATTACTGCTTTTTGTTAACCAAGAACTGTTCTTCCTTCTTGGATACAGCATTTCACTTTGGAGACAAGAATTGTGATACCAAGTGTGAGAAGGCAGATGACATGTCCAACATGCTGGAGAACCTAACTGGTGATCAGCCTGAAAAGTGTTGTGGAAAGCATGGAATTTGCTCCCATGAGGTTCTTAGGGATGGTGAAATAGAATCTGATTCCAAAGTGGTTCCTGGTAGAGTTACTAGAAAGGTAGAGATGCTAGATTTCCTCTGTTCCTCAACTGCTGGTTCATACACTGCATCCTCTAATGAGAATTACTTAATGGATAACTCCAAACTCTAAAACCCTAAATAACAAACCATACCATCCTAAAATTCAAACTCCAAACTGCTAACCCTAACTCATTAACCCCATACCCTCTCTAACCCCTTAACACTAAATCCACACTCTAAAACACACTCCTGAATCCCTAAACTCTAAACCCACATTCCTAAAATCCTAAACCCTAATCCTCAAACACTAAAATAACCCTCCAACCCCAAACTACAAAACACTGGAACTCCTATCCTAAACCCAAACCCCAAAACATAAATTGTAAATCATAATGCTTAAAACCCCAAACTCTCAACCAAAAATCCCAAATCAAAAGGACCATTACACTTGCTTTTGTTCACAAGGCCTTAGCAAGAATAAAAGCATGATTTGCTAGTTCATCAAATGATGATAGTTTGAAAACTTTTTCTTGGTGCTTTTTGTGAATGATGGGGGCGAATGACAGTAAACAGAGGCAAAGGAACGGCAATGGTGCAGAGTATCTTAGGGTCAGCAGTGGCATCGTGGCTAGAACCGCTGGCAATTGCGACGAGAGGTGTGTTGGTTAGGGATGGAAGCAAGGTTGAAGAAAGACTGGAGTACTTAAATAGATGTCTAGAAGGTAGATTCGTTCACTTGGATCTCGACATTACAGTTGTGGAGAAATGGGCGAACCAAGAATGGAAAAACCTAAGCTTCTCCTGTGTTCGAAGGATGGGGGCATCCTTATTCTTGTTCAGTTTTAGGTGGAAAAAAGACATGGAAGAAACTCTAGCAAGAGAATGCTTTGGAAAAAGAGGAACCCTGGAATTTTTTTTTCGGGTTTGGATTGGAAGTACAGAAAATGAGGTTCGTTCGGATCGATGTATATGGGATACTATTGCATGCCTGGTGTACAGAAGTTTTTAGGGCATAGGAAATGCTGTGGGAAGTTTCAAAAGATTTGATTTCAGAAATAGAAGATGGGAAAATACACAATATGCAAGAATTCTTGTTGAGACGGAAGGCGTTAGCTTGATCCCAACACTTACGGGATTTGTTTTTTCTTGAGGAAGTTTTCAACCTTCGGTTTGTAGTTGCTAGCGGAGAACCACTGTTTCAATGGAAGGATCAGAAGTAATGGCCTTACTTCAAGGTTTGAAACTGGCGAAACAATGGGGCATGCAGCAATTGGAAGTGGAAGGAGACTCCAAGCTGGTAATAGGGTGGATGCAAACTGGAAACCTGGGAGTGTGGTCTCTTAGACAGCCTCTAAGAGAGATTATTAGCTTAGCAAGGGAGATTGGGGTGCACTTTAATTGGGTAAGAAGGTCAGCAAATGGAATGGCTGGCACTTTAGCTAAGCAAGGAGTTACTAGGGAGGCTTTGTTTTGGGCCTGTTTGTAAGTTTTTGATTTTCTTTACTTGGGGGCTACCATGTACTTAATATTTGATGATCAACAAGATATTAGAAAGGCAATATTAGGCTATTAATTTTTTCATGCGAAGAAGGCATTAAAACAATATGCACACATGCTATGCAAATGCTCCTAGAATGTGTGAAAGAAATAGATAGTGTGATGGTTGACTGGATCAACTGGTTTCCACCCCTTTATATGCCTCTTTTTATGTTTCTAATTACCTCTCCATAACTGATAAAATTACTGCATTAGGAGATTGAGGGAAATATTTTTAGGTGTTGGACCTATTTGTTTAGCAGGTGTAAAGGGAGGATCATTTCCTATTACAGAAAGTTGGATCCATGGTTGTATGGGTGGTGCGTGGTGCTATGCCATTATTGATGAAAATTTTGGAGAGAGGGATGCCACAAGAGGGGGGAGAGAGTAGCAAGGGAGACTAAATGATCAAATAGAACATCAAATAACCACATTAGCCATAACCACCATCCAATATCACATAGCTTTGAACAGATCCTTGTGGTCAATATTACCCATTACCCAAAGAATCCATCTTACTCACTTCTGCAATTATTGATGCCTTTACAGTTCCATCTGGCTAAGCATAACTACTGTCCAGACTGGAATAGTTTTGATTAAATCCCTATAGTCAATCTGTTATCCAAAGCATCCAATCTATGCCTGCACACTAGTATTAGTGCTTGTATGGGCGCAGATAAGAATGTAATTTAAAATATTTTCCATGAGGCAGGCATCTTTTAAGCTTTCGTGGGGTTGCAATGGTGAGAAAAATGGCCAGCACAAGCATGATATTGTCTCTTTTGAAAGAGGAAATATAACAACAGCAGAACGCAGCAGTAAGCAGGTAATATTTCTTCAATTTACATTGTCACTCTTGTTTTTTATTTATAACTTTAGTAATAGATTGGTATATGCCACCATCTTATCCATCGAGTACAAGAGTACTAGTTGTGTAACTGTTGTTAATGGTTAGTGCAATCTTTGTTTTCTCTTTTGTATCATTTAATGAGTTATCTAATCAAGAACTCCTTTTTCATTTTCAGATTTCCTTGAGGTGGGAATCACCTCCTCAAACTGTGCTTGTTATCTCCAAACCAAACTCGGTCTCTGTTCGAAATTTATGTGCAGAAATGGTCAGGTGTGGCTGTTAAAGTGTCTAGAATCACCAAGTTACTATCCTTTGAAGTTATAGAGCATTTCTTCTCAGTAACTATTATTCATACCATAGAAGGAAACAAGGCTGAGGAAATTTTGAAAAGAATTTGTTGATCTACCAATAAATGTTGAACACTTAATATACATTTACATTATGTATACACACTTTCAATTAAGAATCAAATGGTTCAAAATGACCAGTAAGCAAATCAATGAGTCTGTGGATTTCTTTTGCTGGATTTTGAAATGAAATGTAAATCTTCTATCATGTTGTCAGCCAATTCATGCATTCTCCTAAGATTCTTCACATGAAAGTAGCTGAAACGATCCTTAGGTATTTGAAGACGTGTCCAGGGAAAGGAAATCTGTTTAAGAGGCACAATAAACTCGAAATAGAGGCATATACTAATGCTGATTGGGCTGGATCAATTGGAGATAGGTAGTCTACTTCCAGATATTGCACATTTGTTGGGGGAATTTGGTTACTTGGAGAAGTAAAAGGCAAAATGTGGTTGTGAGATCAAGTGCAGAAGTTGAATATCGAGATATGGCACATGGTGTTGTAGAACTATTGTGGCTTGAAACCCTCCTAGGTGAGCTTGGGGTGAAAGTTGATGGTCCCCTCAAGCTGTATTGTGACAACAAGGCTGCCATCAACAAAGCAATAACCCAGTACAACATGATAGGACTAAGCATATTGAGATTGATCTACACTGTAAAGAGATTGGGCCGAATGGGTCCTAGAATCTTCTCTTGTAATATCTTTTTTTTTTCTTGTTGGTTAATGGGCCTCTCTTAATGGGCTTGTTATTTCTTTTTGTTTGATCTCTTTATGTTACTGCCTAGTTGGCTGCCCACTTAAGGGCATACTTGTAATTACTTTAACATTAATTCATAAAAAAAAAGATAAGAGACGAAAGGGAAGATAATTCGAACCTTTCTTCTTCTTCCTMCTCTTTTCGCCATCTTCTTCTCTTGTACTACTGCTCTTACTTTTCTTCTTCTTTTTCTCTCTAATCTTTAAATTTACACCTAATTTTTGAGGACTGATTTACATCTTGGTATCAGAGCAGGTCTCTTTCTTCCTTTTTTCTTCTTCCTCTTTTCCCATACACCCTTAGATTAAGAGAGTGTATGGAGATAGGTTCTCTATAGTTCAGAGGATCTCTGGCCTAGTTTGTAGAGGGTTTGGAGAGTTTAAATCTAGCTGGATATTACCAAGAAGTGGTGTTGTTCTGTTGCTGCCCAAAACCCTAGCCGACTAGAGATTTTCAAAGGTACAAGTAAAGGTGAAGCTTTGGGTGTGGCGCTCTGTGCTTGGGAGGTGTCTTTGACTCCTAAAGGAGGGCGGTTCAGGTTAGGAAGAGATTGGGAAGCTCTGGTAGGAGCGGCTACATCTTTTCTCTTCCTCCCCAACAGTTGGACGGAGTAAAACCCTAGTTTTCAAGCATCTGGGTTCTGGTTTGACTTCAAGTAAGTTTATATAGACAAAATTT